ACTGCTATAAAAATGTATTAAAAAGTTAAACATATGAAAAATAAAAAATTAATAGTAGAATAAATTAAAATATCTGAAACCTGATAGAAAGAGACCCCAACAAGTTTCAGAGCAGAGATTATTAAAAGCCAACATGCCGACAAAAAACCCAGCCATCTTGAAAACTGGCCACATATTGGACTCAGTCCAACTAATCCGAGATACCACATCAAACCTAATTGACGATGTCTTGCAGAAAAGACTGCCTCCGGCACTAATCACTAATCCTATTAGGAATGTAATTATGCACTGGACCCAAGATACAAATAATGATATGTTGTTGTCGTTGATGTTGCCAACTAAATACTTGTTCGCAAAGACCATAGAAATTGAAATAACCCAGTATGACAAAACTACAACAGCTATCTTTGTTATGCTCGCTTTTTCGGTCATATTTTTAAATAATAACTTGGGTTTTCTGTACAGAATTACCTACTGTTATAATATAATTTATTCATTTTAAAATATGATAAAATTAACATATTATGAAAAAAAATTTGGCATAATCTTAAGACAGTGCCTGCAAAATTCAATTAAAAACACATTATTTACAGGTAAATTGGTTATTGTAATTTATATAAAATAAATATAAAAATTGTTATACATATACGGTTTCTTTTATTTTTATATTAAAAATTTATATTTCTAAAAGTATTTTCAGGTTTTTTCATACTTATCTCCTGCATTGCAGGCACTGTTTTAGGATTTTGCCCAATTTAATCATAAATGAAAACTTAAAGGTATTTAATTAATAAATTAAAATTTAATTAAATTAAAATATTAAATTAATTAATAATTAATAAATTTTAATAAAGGTACCTTTTGCAATAATATTCAAAGTTCAAATTAATTAAAAAATTCATCATAACATCATAACTAAATTAAATTAAATTAATTAATTTAGAATAAAATGAAATCATTTAATATAATATTTTATATTATTTATCGACATTCAGGTGAAACGGTGTTTTATTATTATTTTTATTGATATTCATTTTATTTTTATTGTTATTATTATCGTTTTTGTTATTATTTTTATCGAGTTTTTGTTACTATTTACATTGAGAGCACCTGAGATTGAAATTAGATCAATGTTAAGCAATCGATGCTGATATTTTTTTTTCACAGGTACCAAATTCGATCAAAGTGAATTAATGTAAAGATTAATGTCATTTTTCATGATGAACTCAGATACAAATTTTATTTTCAATAAATTTTCAGAAATATCTAGTAATGAAAATTGAAAAGACAAACTTTAAATTGATTAATGCCAACAAGGCAGCCAAAAAAGCAAACAATACGCTTGGCATGACAAAAAGGACGATCGTTAACGAAGATAAATCAAAAATCTTTATAAAACGTTAGTGCCACTTAAATTGGAATTCTGCAAACGGGCATTAATTCCTCACTGTCAAAAAGACAAAGAAGAGTTGGAAAAAGTTCAAAGACAAGCGACCCGAATGATTAAAAATTGTGAATAACTTTCATTTGAGGAAAGATTGATAAGTTGTGGACTGACAACTTTGGATAAACGTAGGACTAGAGGAGATCTTATTCAAGCTTACAAAATCATAGCGGATAAAGATGAGATAAATTCATCCTTATCCTTCTAATTTCCGAAATATAGAAACACAATAAGAGGGCACCAGTACAACCTTTTCAAAAAAAAGATAGAAAGAGCAAAAGGAAAATTTTTCAGTTCGAGAGTTATTGAACATTGAAATAAGCCGGACGTAAAACCGTAAAAGCTTCTACAACGCAGGAGTTTGAAGTCAGACTTGGAAGATTGGGATTTTTAATCCAAATTATTAGTCAAAATCGATCCAGTGGTTCGCACACAGAGATATCTACTGTTATATTAATTCGGTAGAATTCATGTAATAATGTATAAAATGTATACATTATGGTTTCCTTCCAATATATTTATAAATATAGACAGACTATGATAAAAAAAGAAATATTTTTATATAAAAATAGGTCACCGACTTAAAATTTTCAAAATATTCTCTTCACACTAGGATTTTGAAAGTTATCCCAATCCAGACACCCAATTGAGAAAATTGCTTGATATTTTGTTTATTTGCATTGTGAAACGCATTTTTAGCCATGAAAGCAATAAATAAAATGATTTTAAGAAAAATTTATGAAAAATTGAAAACCAAATGATATGAAAAAATTGTATAAATGATTGAAAATCATATCATTTTTTTTTAATTTTTATAGAAAATTTGAGAATAGATCAATGTAATGCGTGTTGATCATTCTGATCCTATGGAAAATTCTTCAACGTGGGTGCTGAACTGCACCCTTTTTTTTCTTCCTGTTATATCATATTATTACTATTATTATTACTTAAATTATTATTGTGATATTTTTCTAAATAAAAGATTGTTTCAATTCAATTATTACTATTATTATCATCATCATTATATTATTATTGTTATTATTAACATCATCATCACCATCATGATCATATCATCATCACCATCATCATCTACCTCGTCATAAATATATATTTTTGACTGACTTTGCCTATTGATGCAAATGAGTAAGCCACACATAAACGTAACGAATACCGCACAAGACAGTGTTATGGTTAGCAGTCTCATGCTTGGGAGTCCTTCAAAAAAAAAATATATATATATATATCTATAATGTGTAGTCAGCGAGTTAGCTCAGCCGGTAGAAGAACCGCCATGTCTGGCGTTGCTATTGTACATTGACCTGGTTCGAATGCTGTGTTCGATTTATAATCCGTGTAGTGTTTACACACATGTGTGTATGTCCATATCCACAAACCTTTCTTTTCTCTCTCGATACATGTGCTATTTTCATCTGAAAATTGAATTTGAAAAAATTGTGATGACTGTCATATATTCACCATCATCATCACCATCATCATCACCATCTTCATCATCATCACCATCATCATCATTCACACCAGGGCCGGATTTATATTAGGGTGGGTCAGAAAAATGGGCCACAAAAATGGGCCCCCTTCCAAAATATGATGCAACCATCACGTTTTTTTTTTACACAAAGGCGCGCAAGTTTTGGTAGAGAGCAGTGTGTAAAAGTATATAAAAAAATAATTTGAATGAATTAAAAACTTATACAAATTCAATTTAATCACAAAATTAATAATTAATTAGGGAGTTAAGAGCCTCTACTCGAGGCTTTCACGCCTCTAAAGGTAAAAGGTTAAAGGTTACTCTCTCTCTCTTTTGCGTTAGCTTCAGAGGTTTCAACGACAAACACACACAGCGTATATCAATACGCTTGAAAACCACGCATCATACACATTGCATATGATAGACGGGGATCTCTTTGTATTCGAACCCAGTCACTGCCTTTAACCATTGATCCATCATGCTCTAAATCCGACCCCAAGCCAACCCATCAAACCTCCACTGACAGTAGCACTCCCCTTAATTATTTTTTGATCATCTGGAAACATTTTGCCGACAGCTTCACAAATCAAATAAAAAAATCCCGGTTGGATGAAAAAAATGCAGTCATCATAGGCCGTTTTGAAGGAGTTCTGGGCGATTATATCTTTATCGTGTGGCAAGGTTGCTAGAAAGCTGACGACGGTAAAGTTGCCGGTTGGAGTGCAAACGATTTTTTGGCAAGCGGTTACGTTCAAATTTCTCGACATCTCACCGAAAACTGGAATTGAATGAGTGAGTTTGGCGGTTGTATGGTTCAAGGGGGTGACAGATTTATTTGATTTTAAAATAAGTCTGTGTGTGAATTGTCTAAAATGTCTTTTAAAGTAAACTTTAACGATAGTTAGGTATTTAATTAAAAAAAACTACAATCAAATAATGTAAAGTAAACAGAATTACAATCGAATAAAGTGAAGTAATTAACCGCCTGGAAACAACTCTGACTAAACTAACCAAATTACGAACTAGAAAATAATTTTTTCTTCTCATTCATATCTTAGCTCAATAATGAAACTCATCCAATTAAATTTAGATTTAATTTAAAATGAAAAACCGACAAATGTAAATACTACCAATAAATAATTATTAATCTGATGGGAATATTGACTATTCAGTTTAAGCCCTTTATGTAAACACATCCACTACTGATACTACATTGTATTTATGGCTTTAATTTCATTAAAATATACATACAGTCTAGTATTTTCCAATATGGGAAGCGTCAAGGTCGTCTGGTCATCCAATACTTTGTATTAGTTTTTTTTTAAATTGTATTTTTTTCTATGAAAATTTTAACCGTAAGTAATCTCCTTAGCCCTCTAGTAACAAAGCCCTTCACCCTACTAAGCTAAATACCCGAAAAACCCCAGGTATAATGTATAAACTCTTATGCCAAATCTGCTTTTGCTTTTTCTGGTCCTTTTCTCTGGAACTCTCTACCTACTTCTCTGACTACTTCTCCATCACTTGTGAAGTTCAAAGCGGATCTCAAGACCCATCTGTTTTCAAAATTCATTAAGGAGCGCTGTTGAACATCGCGGAAATGGCGCTTTATAAACTAATTGATTGATTTAATGATTGATTGATAAAATTATATCATCAATAAAAACTCAAAATAACTAAACCGGTGTATTGGTCAATATTTTGAGCCATCGAAGACTTTGAAAGTTCATCCGTATTCTTAGTGTCGGCAACTTTATCCATTCTACACAACTTATTCCTATACGGTTTGAAATATAGAAAACGCAATTTAAAATCATTCTTCTGATAAATTTTATGAATATGAAAAACACACACACGCAAATAATTTATAGAAAACTATGAATTTTAGATTCCTTCATAGTTACATTAGACCAACAAAAACGTGAAGCATTCATTGTAGGAGGAGGTATTCATCTTCAGACCTCCCATCCTATGGCCACACCTCTGGCTAGTTACAGTTTTTTGGTTCTCTATAATGCAGCTCTGCAGTTCTGCTTACAAATCATTCCAGATTTACAGTTATAATTTTAATAAATGTTCTTAACTAATAGGTAGAGTGTACATTCCAATTCAAATATTAATACATCAAATATTTACAGCCAGCCAAATTAAACTCTGATATATTTCAATTGATTCAACCACGGCAGGGTGGCGAAGTGATCTCAGTCTATTCTTTTTCTTGAATCTGCCATTTTTCAGGCACCATTTTAGCACAGAGTCAAACGTTTTTTTGGAATTTGGATTACGAGATAGCGCAATGGCAAAGGCAAAAGAAATCTTCCTCTGTTATATATTTGTATTTAGGCATAACACAATGCTTTGAAAGTGTTTGTAAATGAAAAGTTGAATCTAAAAGCGCTCCAGAACTTCGCAATTTGAAACCTGACTTTTTAATAGTAATTTTTAAATAAGTTTGAAGTGCATTTTTCGACTTTCAAATCATTCATACATTTACTGCAAACATACATCAGTGAACAATGTTAGCGAAGATTTACCAAAATATAAAAATTTGAAAATAAAAAGTTGAATCTAATTATTAAAAAATATAATCACCAGAAAAAACCAACACTAACAAAAGAGCTATCACCAAAAATTTTGAGTTGTTCAGAAAATTCATCAAAAAGTGCATCGTTAACAATTTATTTCATATTTTATTCATTCGTTTTTTGTTTGTTCGTTCGTTTCTTTGTTAAATTGTTCATTTCTTCGTTCGTTTTTATACTCCACTCATTTATTCATTCATCTATTCATTCATTCATTTATGTACATTTTCAGATACATTCATTTAAATTAATATAAACAAGCTATTTGTAAACATTCCGTTGTCAAAAGTAGAATAAACATGAAAAAAAAGAACCCTTAAATGTTTGTTTGCTTCGCTGACTCAAAAACTCAAAAATTTAATAAAAATTTTGTATATACATACATTTCGGTTACGATTGTAAACTTGGGCGTGTTTTTAACTTGCCTTATTAAGCATTAGTTAAAAAGGTCAGTTTGGTGTGGATATGAAAGATTTCAGGAGCAAACAACCAACGAATAAGCGAGCTAATGGACAAAAGGTAAAGGATAAAGTTCATCATTTACACTCTCCCTTGGTTCAAAGGTAAAGTGCTGAACAAATGAATGAACAACTGGAAGAATAAGTGAATGAATGAATCAACGGACGACTGAATAATAAAATTAAAATATGACAAAACTTGGAGTAAAAAAATATTTTTTATTACTCTATAACCAATAAAACAACATGGAAAAAAGAGAATGTAAAACAATAAAATAGGACTTACAATACAATACAATACAATCCAATACAATACAATACAATACTTACTTTCAATACAATACTTACAATACAATCCCAATTCTACAACCGCAACTCCTCCATCCTACTGAGAAAGTAAATTATTTACCCAAATCACTTACCACCAAAGTTTTATTTACCGGTTTTTAACAAAGATGTCCTATTTAGAATCTTTACTGATTCTTCTTATATATATAGGTTCATCTCAAAATCAAATTCGACAAATTCTGAAGTTTCAACATCTTCTCAATTATCATACTTGTATGAGGGTCTTTTCAGTTTTGGATAGACAGTATTCGAACTATGCCATTACGTAACAAGCGCTCGAACTTTTACCGACTGATCTAACTCGGGAATTTCTACTATCTATTCCTTCGATTTCGCTATTATTTCTTATTATTATACTTTTTATCTATATCAATTTTGCAACTAATTTGTCTCAGGGTAATGTTGAAGCATAAGCATTTAATGTAGAAAGCATCAAAATAGTTATAACGGTTTTCTGTCTCTCTCTCTCTCTCACCCAGTCTTTTCAAAGTTTATGTTAGTTGTTAATAAATTTGACACCGACATTTGTCATATTTTTCAACGATTAATATAGTTAAATATGTTAATTAATCAAAAAAATCAGATTTTTTAGCCATACTGATCAATTAAAATTCCCCAATTAATTTACCTATTTTTCTAAATATTTTACCAAGTAAACTAACAATATTTCAATATTGGACATTAGATAAAGTTCAAATTAGTATTGTTTAATATGAAAGAGAATTTTTTTTCCAACAAATTGTTATAAAAAAAATATATTTCAATAAACAACTCTTGATAACAAACAAAACCAACTTTGAAATATTTTTCATGAGTTAAATTTTGAAAAATTTTTTTCTTAGAGGTTTTATTTCAATTTGCGGTTCCTGCTGTGGCGTGATCGTAGACCCGTGGGAACTTAGGTCGTCAGATTTCCTCGTCACTGTAATATTTTTGTAAAATTTAAAAATTTCTCTAAATCAACCTCCATTTGTTAACGTTCTATGGGCATCACTAACCTGCGCGGGTATCTATTTGAGTTCGAACCCGGTCACCGAAATAAAAGAAGCACTCGACTTGACCGTTACACCAACCTGCTCTCAAATAAACTGACAAAGAAGCTAATGTTGCTCTTTTTGGATAAAATATTTAACCACCGTTCAGAAAGAATTACAGAACTTTTCAGAATATTGGAAACGGGTAGAAAAAAAGCCGTTATTTCAAAATTTTTGGGTGTTAAAATCGCCCTACCATTAAGCTAAAATCAGGCCTTGCTGATTTTTTTTAATTAAAAGCCACCCGTCCGTCAATGATAAATGGATCCCCGATTTTGGTTATTTAACAAACAACATCAAATCAGAATGAATTTTTCTCAGAAATAAACAAAATTATATTCCAAATCAAACTTTTCAAAATAATGAGAGTCGGGACTCCAAGAATTGTCAATAAGGCTAAAAGTGGTATGGCCACCGACAAAAACACCTTCATATCTTGGCTTATAGGTTCTTTGTCTGAGGAAAAAAATTAATTTATTATGAATAAGTTATATTTGACAATAATTATATAAATATAAATAAATAAATATATATATATACATATATATATATATGTATGTATATAGCATAATTTTGTAGACAAATTCGAATAGTTAATTATAATAGTATAATAAAATAAAAATATTTTATCAATCTTTTCTACCTAAGGATTTATCTTTCATTGATTTCAATCCGGTCTTAGTAGTGAAATTAGAACCTATGTGGGTTGAGCTTTTAAGCGAAAATCTTGTTTCGGCTGTAGGTTTGGTTGTAAGGTCCATGGCTGTAACTCCTAATTTCGTTTAAAATATTTTTATTCTTTTTTTAAATTATAAAAAGATTTAATCAATTATTCGAAATTTTGTTTTTAATTTCGTGGATTTTTTTTTCTCAAATAACAATTTTATAAAAAAAAAATGTTCTCGCAACATTTTTAGCGCTTGTCTCATTTTGAGTTTTATGAAAAATAATTCTGGTTCTAAGAAAAAGTTATGCTATTTATCTTCACTCTACGTTTAATCTTTTTATTTAAACTTTGTCAATTTCACAGATTTTTATCTGTTTTTTTTAGTTTGTGTTTAGTATCGGCAAATTGATATGAATTTTTTTAAAGCATGTCTTGCCCAATGCTATATTTCAACATTTATGTAATTTTATTAGATTAGACTACGTGTTTTTTTGTATTACTTACCCAATTTTGTCCACATTTTGAAAATTCTAAGAATCATTGAGACTGAGAATTTTAGTATTAGGATCTTATATAATAATTTAATTAAAGTAAAAACCAGTTAAAACGAAATGATTTTAGAATAGGATAGTGGGATAGTGGGGATTGGTTTCGAAAGCAAGGCTAGGGGCACCGTTTTTGAGCCCATTTCTGTGTCTGTATCTTGTGTTTGTAGAAAATTTGCGATTTGTAAAGCGCCACATAAATGTAAAGATAATATAATTTATAAAGACAAAAAATACATATATCGAAAAAATTACCACATAAATACTACCTGGCTTTTCTGTTCTCATGTTGTTACAATTTGATTCGCTGAAGATTATAAACGTTAAAATGATAGTTGGTGTGTGACATCTCTTAAGCATAATTAGTTGTGTTTAACATTCATTACTTTGGCTATTTTGACAATGCTGATCATTATTATTTTAAACTTTATTAATATTATTTTCGTTATTATTATTATTGTTGTTGTTATTAATTCTTTTTTATTTATAGTTCTTGGTTAAACATAAAATTGCTTAAAAGTGCATTTATGACGTTGTAAGGTCGAAAATAGTGCTTATCTAGTTAGCTACAGATGATATAACCAAAATAATGACTTAGTAAAACGAACCAAGGCTTTGGTTATGTAAGTCGGAGCCCAATTTATTTAGAAGTTGAAAACAGTAAGTGTAACAATTTAGTACACCAAGATATATTAGTCTTTTGTTTGTGTATGTTTAATTCTTAGTTTTGAAGTATTCATATTCATAAACAAGAAAATTCATTTAAAATCAGCCAAATTGATTAAATTTTTAGAAGCCGTAAGTTAATTTATGATAAGATTGATGAAGATTCTATAGATTTTCAAATGACTACGTTGCTTATTTGAATAATTGCTATTAAAATTTCAATTCTAAAGTTTCTATATAGAAGTCTTTATTATATTTTTAATTAAGTTAAAAGGTAAGTCAGCAAATCCCACTCAAGAACATGCTGGAATGTCATTGAATGTTGTAAAAATCTGACTGGAAACAATGGACAAAATGGCATAAGTTTAGAAATTTTTAACTGTATTTAATTTTTGTTTGTTAGACATTTTAGCATTTTCTTTAGAATTGAACTTAAATTTGAAAAAGGAGCTAGAATATTTTGGACGTGATGTAGTGGAATAAATTGTACGTCCAGTGCAGAGGATTGTAGTCGTAGCCGTAGTAGGAATCTCTCGGAGGTTTTTCGTTACCGTTACGTTCATTGCCTAAGTTAGATCCTGCCCTGCCTTTCTCCGCTGAAGCTTCTTCTTTGTTGGCATCAGCTGAAGAAGGTGGGTGCAGTTCGTTCATTTTCATCATATTTGGACTGTTAGCAACATTTGTGCTTTTCCTCTTACTCGCGTTGACGGCTGGGTTGGGTCCAGGCATTTCTTGAGGCGCTGCTTTAAGGGGGGCTTCCTGCACACCAGATGGCATGGGTTTAGAGGGACCATCAAGCATACCTGGAGGTCTTGGCATATTAGTGGGCATGGGTTTTTGTGGAGCTCCTTTTGTGTCTGGAGGCGAAGGCCTTGGTGGACGATCTTGCATATCAGGTAGCGGAAGTCTTGGTTTTTGTGGCGGCATACCCGGGTGCATTGGCTTTGGCGGACATCCAGGTTGTTGAGGTTCAGGCATCCTAAAGGGGGGAAGAGCGGAAGAAGAAGTTTTTGGAATCTGACCGGAGCTGCTAACTGCTGGTCGGTCCGTCACATTCGATGGTTTGTTAGATATTTTTGCCGCCACTCCTATTTCACCATATTTCGAAGGGGGTGCAAAATTTTGAATCTCCACAAGCAATTTTTTCCTGTCTGCAAAATGAAAACAACTTGTGATAATTACTTTCAAATAGAACAAAAAATGTTTGCTGATGTACGGCTGAAATAATTTAAAGATAGCTGTATTAAAAATAAACCTGAAATATAAAAAATCTAGAACTAAAAATCTGTGTTGAAAGCTCATTCATTGAAACATTTCTATATTTCTGAACGAGAAGAGTAACTAAATCCTTTCGATTAAATGTTGATATTCATTAGGTTGTAGGTTTGCAGCGGCGGATCGATGCCCTTTCGGTTGCAAGCAATTTTTTAATAAAAATCAGAAAAAAGAACCATTCTATGTGTAACCAAAAATTGAGCGTAATTAGCCAAAAACGGTCGTCAGACATACGGTCACAAAACTGAAAAATTAATAACATTCAAGCTATACGATTTGCATTATCCAGGATGACATATTTTCAATCATTTTATTTAGAAAACCATGGAAATTGACTAGCATTAAATAGTTTACATTATAAAAAACAAGATTTAAAACTTTCATTTCAAATTATTTGAAAATATTTAATTTTATTTAATAATATTTAAATTTTTAATTTTATAATATTTAAAGTTATTAGCATGGGCGCAAATATACATGTTAGCCCATTTCGGCGAACATCAAAAGGTTCGGACAATAAATGCCCTACCTACACACACTCTAAATGAAAGTATTTAAATAAAATCCCGAATTTTAATAAGTTTATTAAATTATTTAGCTATTATTATAACCATAATTAATTAATTCTTTAATTATTTTAGTAAAATTAGTAATATAATTCATTTAATTATAAAAGAAAGGAAAATGGCACTACCTCTTATGTAGGTTCCCGCGAGGAAAATGATAATCAAGGTAAGACATAGAGGTGGAATGATTAGGAGCGCTTTGCTGGTAAATCCCTCCAAGTTAACTAGAAAATATTTTCAACGATTTTCAAAATTGTAATTTTTTTTGTCATTTTGAAATACACGAGAAGATATATACACTAGATTAACCACTCGATGAAAAGAAATCTTTTGGTGTTGATAAACTGCATCCAGTATTATTAAAAAAGTGTGCAGAGGCGTTTGCTGTTCCAATTGCTTTGATATTCCAGGCCGCTTTGGCTACGAGTCAACTTCCACTTCAGTTCAGATCGGCAAACCAGAAAAAAAGAAGATTTGATTCAGTTGTTTAAAATGATGCATAATTTTGACAAAGTTGATTTAAGTATTCGTTCTGGCATAGTCAAAACCAAAACGCGAGGTCAAAGGTCTAAATATTTTAAAGTGTTAACAAGACATAGAGGCAGAGAGAATTACTTATTCAATAGAGTCGCAAATACTTGGAAATTTGGTAATGGAACTCATTACCAAATGAACTTGTTGAGGCAAAGTCAATGAACAAATTTAAAGCAGGTATTGATTGTTGGATGAACAACAATCAATCAACGAATCATCTGTGCTTGCATGCCTCTCTGGATAATCTCCAGAACAGCATTACTGCTACTACTACTACTACTACTACTACTACTACTACTACTACTACTACTACTACTACTACTACTACTTTTACTACTACTAATACTACTACTACTACTACTACTACTTTTACTACTACTAATACTACTACTACTACTAATACTACTACTACTACTACTACTACTACTACTACTACTACTACTACTACTACTACTACTACTACTACTTTTACTGCTACTACTACTACTACTACTACTACTACTACTTTTACTACTACTAATACTACTACTACTACTACAACTATTCTATTCAGTAATTTTTTAAACTTAAGATATCTTAATTTTTGGCAAAAACATTTAATTAACTAATTACTTTTATTATCTTAAATAATTTTTTTCCATAATAACAAAAATTAATTATGTTAAGCTAACTTTTATTGGGACAGTCTTTCGTGTCCTCTAGAAAATAAATTTGTCATAAATTACTTCTACAATTAATTAAGAGGGCCAGCGAAAAAAATGGCTAAATTGTTGCAATATTTATTTGATGCGATGGTTCTCATGTATTTACATTTAATTAACTAATTTTAAAAATTTAAGTAATAAAAGTAATTGGTTAATTAAACGTAACTAATTTTAAAAATTTAAGTAATAAAAGATTGAAAAAAAGTTTTTAAATCAATATGGTTTAAAAAAACAAGGATTTAAAAATCGAAATGATCCAAAATCTATCATACCCATTGTATGTAAGAAAGTAGGGATACTTTCATTGTTTTGTTAAATATTACATATTCAATTATTCAAGCTGTCATAGGATACTATCATTTTATGATACTCTAAGAAATCTGTAAGAAACTAATGATACTATCATGCTATCCTATCAGTAACATATAAGAAAGGGATGGCGCTATCATTCCCATAATAAGGATAGAAAAGTATCCGAAAAAATCAGATATCATTCTGCCCACAATTTGTAAGAAAGTGAAGATGCTATCATTCGACCATTCTCATCATAATCCTATTTAGGATACAAAAGTTCATGCGACTTTTTAGAGAATAATAAAAGAAGAATCTAGAAAACTCAAGGGAAAAAATTGACTAACCGCCGGTAACAAAAAGCCGTCCGTCAATGACTGATTCATTTTTTTTCTTTTTGCTGGTCTGGCAGACGAGATGGTAAGAACCTTTTCTGTAGAATCTCAGACGATTCTTCGAGATGTCCTCTTGCCATTCGCTTCTCTGCCTGGTGCCAAATGAAAGCACTTGCGAGCCATCTGTTGGCTGGCATTTGACCACCTGACAGACCATAACATTGAGGCCAGGAGTGTACCCGTTAAAGATGACTTGTGCTGATTAAGATGATGGTGATGGCGATGATGATGATGTGATGATGATGATGATGAAAAAATAGTTATGATGATGAAATAATGGTTATGATGATGATAATGATGGTGATGATGACGATGATGACGATGATGACGATGATGATGATGTCAGCCATAGCCACCGTTGTAAGTCTCATTAGAAGTGGAAGCGCTGGTGTTGACGTTCGTAGCTGCTGGTTTTGTTGTTACTCTGTGAATCTTTCTTGTGGTTGCTACTATGTCTATACGTCTATACTCTCAACCGTGGCTGGGAAAGTATCTGAAAACAGCGACAACAAGCTTGAACAATAATAATAATAATAATAGTTATAATAATAATAAGAAGAAGAAGAAGAAGAAAAAGAATAAAAAGAAAAAGAAGAAGAAGAAAAAGAAGAAGTGTTTTTACAGCAGCTGTACCAGATGCCTCAACCATTGGGCCATTTTGAATGAAAACTTCTATCTCTCCTAACATTTTGATATAACTAACTGCTAGTAATAATAATTACACACAATAATGAGCTGAACACACACACATATACACACACAAACACACACTCACAAACAAACTCTCGGTCACACATGTATATACCTACGGCTATAACTTTTTTCACAAGTTTAAATTTGCAGCTAAAATATACCAAAAGTTGAAAAAATTGTTTCCAATACGTAGTGCTAACCTGTCGTAAGATTCTCCGAATGCACATGCCACGGGTTCAAACACAGGATCAACTCGGAAATTAAAATATAAATTTTGCATTTTTTCTTTTTCGCGCGCAACATTTAGCCTCTTTGGCGTTTAAAAAGTTTCAAATGTAAAAAAAAACATTCATAACGGGGTGGATAAATATTTTTCTGAAATATCTTCTTACAATCCAACAGTCATGTTGTTTTATTTTTGATTGAAGTTGATATTTTGGTGCTTTTTGTTAGGTTGTTTCATGTTTGCGATGTTTACTGTTTGGATTGATTTGTTCTGGTCCACTGAAGACAAAGAAATTTGAATCAATTTTATTTTTTTTTTAAATTTATTTCTCATATTCAATTTCACACTCTAAGAAAAAAACGTTTTTTTTATTTTATAAATTTCAAAAATAACTTGACTCGACACAATGTCTTTCTTGTAAATCGTCCACAGGTATTAACGCCACACACACACACACACACACGCACACACACTACTGAATGAAGTATCCTTTATGTTATCTTTTACTGATTTTATAATTTAAAAATTAACTAATTAATTGAGGAGTGTTTCTCAGGGCACCTAACAACTATTTAGGCCATTAGAGCTTGATTAACTGCTGAAAATTTTTTACCAATACTATTCATGTGAGCCTATGTCCCCGGAGATAACATCCGAGCTTTCTCTTTCTCTTTGACTTGTCCCCAGAATCCAAGTGTCGAATTTCTTTCTCATGTATAAGACCACAAAAATCGCAATTGTGACCAGTATAAACGAGGCAGTCCCTATTACCGGCCACATTATTTCTGAAACTGGTTCTGTTGTTTCATCTGGAAAAAAGTTGTATAAAAGTTTTGATCTGTAATGTGTAACAGTTGTAATGTAATGTAAGAATTTTTTTGTTATAAATAATTATTACAACTAAGGTTAAAGGTTACTATCTCTTTTGCACTGGCTTCAGAGGTTTCAACTACAAACACACAGCGTATATGAATACGCGTGAAAACCACGCATCATGCACATTGCATATGATAGGCGGGGATTTCTTTGTATTCGAACCCAGTCACTGCAGCAGCAAGACCAGGCGCCTTTAATCATTGGGCCATCACGCCGCCCTTTGTTATTAGCACCATTACTACAAGAACGATTATTATTATTAGTAGTAAAAAATAAATTTAAAAAATAAATTGCTAGTGACGTTTTTCACCGGGTCCTTTGCACGCTTTCACATTCACTGAGAAGAAAATTATTAAAATTATTTATCATCTGAATAAAATTTAAAAAAATTCCCACAACATATTAAAAGATTAATAAATAAATACGTATATAAATAAATAAAAAATAAATAAATACAAATAGCGTGAAATTGCGAAATAGTTAAAGTGCTTGGCACAGCTATTGAAGTTTCTGGATTCGAATACAAAAAGATTCCTGAATGTCATATGCGGTCTGTGACGAATTGAGAGAGGCCCACACAATCAAATTTTAAAATTTGAGAGAGGCCCACACAATCAAATTTTAAAATTTGAGAGAGGCCCACACAATCAAATTTTAATATTTGAGAGAGGCCCACACAGTCAAATTTTAAAATTCAACTCGAACTCTTGTTAACGTTGTTCAGATCCGCTCCTACATGTAGCAACGCTTCTAAAGTATCTTGAAGAGGATGTAAGGGAAGAGTTTGTAGGTAGGTAGGTAGGTACACTAAACTGCATACGCTGAGGCACGATTCAACAGTTTTTCTTAAGATTTTTTGGGTGTCATTTGTTAAAAAACTTTTCATGGCCCAAAAATTTTTTTCAAATATTGTTCATGATTTAAATGAATTGTCGGTCTTTCTTTGCTTATTCCAGAATTTTTTTTGTACAATTTCTATTAAGACCAATATTTCTAGCAAAAACTACAGGTAACTGTGTAATTTAATAATTTGTAATTTTTTCTATGAGACCCCTTTTATGTGGATGCCCCCTAGAGATTAAAAGAACCCCCAGGTGGAGCGCACCTACACCCCCCCCCAGTTGTGAAACACGAATCAAATCTAATCGAAAAACTAACGCCCTATAACGGTAACACTGCCATTGACAAAGATGACGTTCTCCGGATATTTGTTGTGGTGGGTCTTACACGAGATGGAGTATTGGCCTCGTTTCTTTATCTTCACGATGTTTGTATCCAGATACTCCAGCATCACCCCAACGCTCAGTATCATGATATCAACGTAGTAGTCGCTTTCTGGCACGCAGATAACTTCCTGGCAGACTTTTGCCTCTACATGGCGGTTATCAGCTGAAAAAACTTATTTGGGTGGAGAAAATTATTCTGTATTGGTGTGGTGTAATGGTAATGGTGCTTGGGTTAGCTGTTGGATGCAGAGATCCCATCTTAACTTAGGGGTGTGGGTTCACGCATATTTACATGCACTGTGTGTGTGTGTGTGTGTGCGTGTGTGAGTGTGCGTGTGTGTGTTACTATTCTTCCTATGTCTTGCTAACTTCTAAATTAATCGCATTTGGCATTTTAGTTTATTTCATTATTTTATTTTACTTGTACTGCCATTTTTATTGTTTTTATTGTTGAACAAAAGATTGTATCCATTAATTCATTTCTTCTTCTCATAGCCTGTTATGGCGTTCGATTAAAAAGAATAAAAATAATAACTAAAAAATTAATAAAAATAAAATAATAAAATTAAAAATAATAACTGAAAAAATAATAAAAATAAAATAATAAAAATAATAACTGAAAAATGCAGTAAAGTTCATCCCTCACCGATTTTTTGGCCCTCCTGTTTAGCATTTTTTAACGCTAAACTTTCGTTAGAGTCTGTGTGGTTCAATGGGTGAACATTTTGTAAGGGTAAGAAGTAACCAGTTGTAATAATAATAATAATAATAATAAATAATAATAATAACAATTATTATTACTATAATTGCCGACAGAAGGGTAGCCAAAGTGGGACTTGATAGGGCCGTAGTTACTCAAAAATGAAAATTTTGTATGGGTTCGGATGAAATTTAACTTAACCTTCAATTTGTTGTTTGTTGATTAAACACACACCACACACACACACACACCACACACACACACACACACCACACACACACACACACCACACACACACACACACACACAAAATCCAAACCTACAAAAGCAGTGGCAAGATTTAACGGAAACTTTCGCATTAATTTGTCTTAGAAAATGTTGGTAATTAAAAAATTTAAAGAAGAAAAAAAATCCAACCTATTACGGTAGTTGTGAAAGTGGCACTGGCATTAAAGGTAATGTTTGAGATTGAATTGAACGCTAGGCAGTTAAGCACGTATGTCCCCACTTCGTAGAAGACTACCCTCCTTTCAATAATCGTCAGAGAGTCTTCATCTCCAGCTACCAGCTCGATTTTGTATCCATTTGCTGGCGGGTGTGATGTGGCTTTACAGGTCACTATGACTTTTACTGGGACGACTAATGGCTCAAGGGTTAAACGATGAGGAATAACTGTTTGATGGGTGTTTTTTTTTGGTTTTGGTTTGTTTTGTTTGTTTGTTTGTGCGTGTGATTGTTTGTGTGTGTGTGTTGTTTGTGTGTTATTGGTTGTTGTTTGTGCTTGTGATTGTGTGTGTTGTTTGTGTGTTTTTGAAAGTTTGTATGTGTGTGTGTGTTTGTTTGTTTGTTTATGTGTGTGTGTTTGTTTTGTTTGTGTTCGTGTGTGTGTTGTATGTATGTGTGGATGATGTATGTATGCGTCTGTATTCAAACGCATTTAGACAATCATTACAAAGTTATAGCACAATTATTGCTCTACTACTAAAACTAAAGAGATAAAATGGCAGAGACTTATCTTATCTGTCTTATGCATGATGGTATCCGTGATTGTTTTAGATCCCATTGGGACTACGAACTCCAGGATGAAGACAGTTTCGCTCCCATCAAAGGCAGCAGGTGCCGTCCACTTAACCTGGATTTGTTTCAAATTCAGAATTCGCTGACTCGAAAAAAAAATTCATGAAATTTATTTAAAAATTGTACAATAAAAGTTTAAAAACTTGTAAAAATGCTGAAGTCTTTATGTGAGATGAGCAGAGGTGAAAAAATTTCTTTATAAATAAATAAACAAATAAATGAATAAATAAATATAATAAAATAAGTAATTACACCATACACAAACACACACACACACACATTCCATTTATGATTTTTCCTCCTATGAGCTCAAAAAATATAAACCAAAATTAGAAAAGGCATCGCCAACCATTAGCTGGTGATAATTAACTAAGGAAAGATCTTGTTTGACTCTTTTCAGAAGAATTCTGTCACTGGAGAAGAGATTTATGAAGATATCTGATGACTGAATGGTGGAAGATTTCACGAAGTCGTTGAAGACTAGATGGTACTTGCAACTCCATATTAGATTCTTCCCCGTACCTTCGAGTTTATTCTCAAGAGTGTGATGTTCTGAAGCGGAGTTTAAAATTTTCAAAGTTTTTGATAATTTTATTATTTTTTTTTTAAATTTCATTTGAATCTTTAAATTAAGTTTTTAAATTTTCAAAGTTTTTGATAATTTTTTTATTTTTTTTTTAAATTTCATTTAAATCGCAAGGAAAAAAATTCTCTCGAGTATTCATTCATTCCTCAAAGGCATACAACAACAACAACAACAACAACAACGACAACAACAACTACTACTACTACAACAACAACAACAACAACAACAACAACAACTACTACTACTACTACTACTACTACTACTACTACTACTACTACTACTGCTACTACTACTACTGCTACTACTACTACTACTTCACAACAACGACAACAAACTCAATGCATCCAATTGCAAATTAATAGTTAATACTTAAATATACTAACTAAACAATTATTATACTAACTAACTAACTAACATTCACAACTAACATTATATCAAAAATAATAATAATTAATAATATACATAAATAATCATAATTATTATGAGAATAATTAAATATAGAATTAACAACAACAACAACAACAACAACAACAACTACTACTACTACTACTACTACTACTACTACTACTACTACTACTACTACTACTACTACTACTACTATTTAAATCTACATAAATAATCATAACTATTATTAGAATAATTAAATATAAAATTAATTATAATTAAACTTGGAAATTAGCTAGATCGATTACTTGAAATGAGAATGATGATATGAACTTCTTTACCGCCGCTGTAACATGTGATATAGAAGGATGATTCAATCAGAGAGTATGTAATGAAGCCATGCCTGGATTCCGTACCTTCTGAGCCATCTGGATGGACGCACCTGTCGTATTTACTAAGATCGATTTGGGTTGTTTCTCTTATTACCTTCACCTCGTCTCCTGTTGGTGTGTGCGCGTGTGTGTGTGTGTGTGTATGGGTGTGTGAGAGAGAGAGTATGTGTAAGTGTGTGTGTGTGCGAAGGAGAGAAAGAGAAAGAGAGAGAGAGAGAAAGAGAGAGAGAGAAAGTTTTTTGTGTGTGTTATAAATTTTTAGCTCGTCTTCTGTTGATGTATGTGTGTGTGTGTCTTTGAGACAGAAAGAGTGTGTGTGTAAGTGTGTGTGTAAGTGTGTGCGTTTGTGTGTATGTGTGAGAAAAAGAGGGTTTGTGTGTCGGTAAGAGTTAAAGTGTGGTGTGTGTGCGCGTGTGTGTGTGTTTACGTACGTGTGCGTGTGTGCGCGCGCGCGTGTGTGTGCGTGTGTGTGTGTGGGAGCGTTCAGGAAAACCATGAAAATCTATCTCACTTATCTCCTTCGCGATGATTTGACTGCTGAAACTGAACCAGAAAATGTTGACAATCCCTCCCAATTGAATAACCATCATTTCTCCATTATATTTTTAATATATCCAAGTTTAATCTAATTTATTTTAAATTTAAAAAAAATTATTTATTAATTATTTACATGTTTGTATAATATAAGTAAGAGGGATAATAATAATAATAATAACAACAACAACAACAACAACAATAATAATAATAATAATAATAATGAGATAACTTTCAATATTTTTCTCGGTTTATTGTTTACATTAAAGTTGACGTTGTACAGCTAAGCCACTAAAAGTTAAGCCATGTAAAACACACACACACACACCACACACACACAAACGCACACACACACACACCACACACACACACCACACACACAAGCATGCACACACACACACACACACACACCACACACACACAAACGCACACATACACACACCACACACACACACACCACACACACACAAACGCACACACACACACACACACCACACACACACACACCACACACACAAGCATGCACACACACACGCACGCACACACACACACAAAAAGAATTTCTCATTGAATTTTAAATAAATAACACTTTTTTACAAAAATAACTAAAAAAAAATAATTAAGAGAATTGTTTTACTCCAAAAAATGACAATGACACCCCCGGTGTCATCCACCCCCACAACCTTGAATATTGAGGGGGCAAAAATCTCACTCGGGTACAATTTTTAGTTTATCCAGAACTTTTTAGAAACATTAAAAAAAGATAAACACCCTTTAAGGTTAAATTAAAATAGCTTCAATCAGTTTTTTTTATGATAAAATCAACTCCTAACTTTAAGCGAGGCCAACTGGCCCTACCCCTTCTGTGAATGACCCTGGTATGAACATTTATATAACGCTAGAGGCACCACGGCTTCGAAGGATGATTTTTTTATACAATTTTTCAATAATTAATTGTTAACTAATTGTTTTATAATCGTTATCTTATATTAATTAATTAATTATTTAATTAATAAAATTGTTTTTGTTAACTAATTGTTTTGTCAACTGCATGCTGGGCTGACGTTGAGACTGAAGCTGGAGCATTTGCCGAGAACTTGATTTTCTCTGGTTGAAAGAAATTTTGAAAAATAATCATCAATATCATTAATTTATTATTATTATTATTATTCTAATTATAATTATAATAATAATAAGAATGTTTGAACCCCAATTGAACAAGTAAACCAGTCCCTCTAAAATGTACCTACTCACTTGCAGTGACGAGCATGTTAGATTAAATAGGATTTTATAATTATTTCATTATTACTATTTGGTATTTGGAGTTAAAAAATAAAAGGATGTTCCCTATTAATAATATAATTATTATTATATTGTTATAAGGTTATCATACGGCATTTTTCGTGACAAAAAATTTTTGATATAAATTTGAATACATTTCACCGCTCTGTACTTTTATTTTGAATGGAGCATCATGGTGGTTTTACATTGACCTTTCATTATCCTACCCTTTCATAGTTTTAATTATTTATTACCCTGGCTTTGAATAAAAGAGTTCTTATTGTTATTACCATTATTATTATTATTATTATTATTATTATTATTATTATTATTATTATTATTATTATTATTATTATTATTATTATTATTATTATTATTATTATTATTATTATTATTATTATTATTATTATTATTATTATTATTATTAAATAAAGAGCAATGATGACTAACTATGATGACTATGATTTTATTTAAATTTTATTTAAATTTAATTTTATTTTAATCATGACTATTTCTCTATTAATTAACTAATTATTGACTTTACGCATTTGATGAAAAATAAAAGATAATAATAATAATAATTAGGATAATAATAATAATTATTATTATTATTATTATCCTTGTTATTAATTTGGCGGCGCTGTAGCGTAATGGTGAAGATGCTTGGCGTTTCTGTTGCACTTGCCGAGTTCCATTGCAAGGAGAATCAGGATTATCGTATGTGAGGCGTGCGTGCGTATGATAATATGCGTTCATCCACAAATGTTCGCATATTATTTCAGTAAAATTTTCAGATATAAATGATGACTTTTTATAAATTCATAAAAAATTGAAAATTATAAATCTCTTTAAAATTGAAAGTTATACGAAATTGTTCTTCAGAATATAAATTTGTTCATGGTTAATTCGTTAATAACTCATCTTCCCATTGTTATTAAGCAACAAGTTGTGGAGATTAACATTGCTACAAAAAGTCAGCCCCCCTTTATGTTCTTATCAAACAATTTTTAAACAAGTTTGCAATTAAAACCAGTAACTAGAGGTTTTTTTATATAAAGAAATTAACTTTATTTAAGGGTGAAATGGCTTATCTAGAATGTCATTTAACAAATTTATCTACACAGTGATTTTGATTATATTTTCTTTAACCCGAGCGACATTCCCCCTCGGGGGATTTCACTCTTACCCCTTCTCATTTGGAGGAGGTTTCACCCTCCACCCTCACCCCTCTTCTGCAATAAAACTAAATATTAATAACGTACAATATTTTAGAACAATTTTTTTGTAGGAAGTTCCACAAACTTTTCTTCACGCTCCTGGCAATGTAGAAAATGACAACCGTAATGTAGACGACTAGGAAGATTAATACGGGGACGATTAGGAAGAAAACCAACTTCAGCAAATCGTACTTGGGTGGGGGCTGGTCAGCGGCTGGAGGATTATGGAGATTGGGAAAATTGGCACGGTGGTTAAACGATTAATGTAGCTGGCTAGTCTGTTGCAGTAACCGGCTTCAAATGCGTGCGTGTGCGTGCGCGTATGCGTGTGTGTGTGTGGTGTGTGTGTGAGTAAAATAAAATGGAGAAAGATATTGAGAAAGAGAGAGAGAAAGAGAGAGAGAGAGAGAGAGAGAGAGAGAAAGAGAGAGAGAGAAAGAGAGAGAGAGAGAGAGAGAGAGAGAGAGACTATGATTCTGTGCCATAAATTCTAATTTTACAAAAAAAAATTTAAGAAAATAGACTAAAAAAATTATTTACTTTGGTTATGTAATCGGCATGATTCATTGGCTTCTGCGAAGATTCGTTGAAACAAAATGTAGAAATTACTTGAAACAATTACAAGCAAACATACGAACGAACGAACGAGCAAACGAACAACAAAGATTCACACAAACAAACAAACATACATACAAACAAACATACAAACATACAGAGCCAAATATACATACAAACAACTAAACAAACAACCAAAACATTGCAATAGAAACACACGCCAACCTCCATGTACCAATACACTTCCATTAAAAATCCACAGGCTTTCCATATTTCCAATGTTCACCATCTGACACGAAACCTGATAGGACCCGGGCTGTCTGAAAAAAATGAAGTTTTGTCTCGTCTCGAATGACCTCTTGTCCGTTTCGTTATTTTTGGACACGTAAAATCGTTGCGTTACTGAATTGTTATGCTTTGTACATGCTAAACGCTGGCAAATATGTACAGTTATGTTCATCCCATTCTTCAAGTTTGCGAGCACTGGATAGGTTGTAATTTGCCGAATTTTTCCAATAAATAATTTAAAATGAAACTAATAATTATAATTTTGCTTAGTAATAATTATAATTTTGCTTAGTATGCACACACACACATACACACGGACACGAACACACACACCACACACACAGACGCATACACACAAACACATACACACGATCCATACAGACACATACACACAAACACACACACATATATACACGTTTATACAATTTGTAACATTTGTGAAAGGAAAAGCAGAGGATCTCTATGCAATCGAACCAGGTTACTGCAACTCAAGACCAGACCAGACGCCTTTAACCATTACATTACACAACTAACTACCATAAATAACTACCTCATTACAAATTTTTTTAAATATTTCTCGGTGATCGTAAACAGTGGCAGATCCAGGTAAATTGGGGTTCGGGATTCACCCCTCCCGACCGTGAAAAAAAAATTTTGAAAATCACTAAAAATTTTGGATCGTCGCGAGATTTCGGATCCGCCACGGATTTTAAGTTTACTTTTAATTACATATTCTTCCAGTTTTTCTCTTTCGAAGTTTTCCTGAAATTTCGAATTGAAATAGAAGAATGGTTTTATTAAAGAATCTAATTCTAGCTACGAACCGATGGTATTATGTAGCGATAATTTTAACTTTTAATTTTAAATAAACATATTAATTAAATAGAATATAATACTGAAAATAATTGATAGAATAATAGATTAATTGATAAATGCACAAATGAATTTACTGGAATCCTGTTTAATACGGTTTCTAGTAACAACAACAGCAACTGTTGTGTTGTTGTTAATATTATTATTATTGTTGTTGTTGTTGTGTGTGTAGATTTGAGTGTTGTAAGATTTCTGTTGTCCACACTGATTTGAATTCGACATTTTCTATTTTATTATTGTTTTTATAATGGAATTATATTTGATATAAGCAACCATCTCTCTCTATTTCTCTCTCTCTCTCTCTTTCATTTCATTCATTTGCTCGTTTATTCTTCGTTCGTTCGTTCATTCATTCATTCGTTCGTTCGTTCGTTCGTTCATTCATTCATTCACTTGGTAATACAGTAAGATGGTATTATTCCCTCCAATTATGAATGTACAAACTAGCGAATTATCGACACCAAACGTTTGTTCGGTAATATTCGTATCGGTTATATTGGTAACAATCCCCATGGAGAAATCATATTGACAGATTATGCACCCATTATAAAAAATTTCGGTTTCGAGATTGTCTCGGTATAGTATTGGATCTGTCGTATTAATAATAACAATAATTGTAACAACAACAACAACAACAACAACAACAACAACAACAACATGGAAAGCACTAACAACAACAACAATAAAACAGCAGCAACAACAACAATAATAAAATTCAATTCACCATTCATCAGCGAAACCAAAGAAACGTCCTCAAACATATCTTCACATTTGATAGCTTGTGGCCTCGAATTAGACTTGTACCGGATAAAATACCGTTTCGGTATTCCGATACCGTTAAAAGTGTCGTTTCGATATCCGATACTTTTGATTGTACAGTTTCGGAATTCAACACCATCAAATGAAATGTTTCCATTAAACATAGCTTTAGTTAAGTAACATATCCATATAGTACAATTAAGTAACATCTGTGTAATTAATTATTATTAGGGGTTAAGTAACCCAAGCTTTGATGATCCAATTCAATTTAATTAATGTTTGAGTCCATTAAAAAGTGGAAAATTTAAACTTTTTGGTAAGAATGCAGACGAAGATGTTGTATTATTAGAGACGAAAGTTCTAGAATTAGAAAAAGACATCTCTTGTTTAAAAACCGAAAACGCCAAATATAGATCAGACCTCGAAAGTCAAGTGAAAGTGAATAACAATCTTACTGAAAAGCTAAAACAACTTGAAGACAAAAACGTCTAAAAACGGATTTGATCGCCTCAGCCATTAAAGTCTCACCAATAGGACTGAAGCTATTGAGAGCTTCCAGCCTGTTATTAAGTTCATTGGACTCGTTGAATCTTACAAACACATGAAATTTCGAATTAAGCAGAGTTAAACAAGATCTTACAGATTTTAGATCTCACAAAGTTCCTAAATGAAAGGTATCGCGATAAAGAAAGAGACAGAGCCAAATTGTCAGATGAACTCAAATTATTGTAACTACGGAAATTTCTGTTCTTCTCTAGTTCTGACGTAATAGGAATGGTTAAAACATATCGGTGAACTGGGGAAGGGTATTTTGAAACTGATCAGAAAAAAAGGATGGCGCGAATTAACAACTGAGTTGAATGCTTAAATTAGCTTTAACATTAGTTGTTAGAATTAATTATTTAGTTTTATTTTCATTATTGTTTTTGTTGTTGTCGTTTTTGTTAATAATAGCGTGACGTCAATGTAATGTTTAAAAGTGAAAAAGGAAGGATACAAATTCATGTGTGTGTGTGTGTGTGTGTGGTGTTGTGTATGTGTGTGTAAATGTGTATGTGTGTGTGTGAATGTGTATGTGTGTAAATGTGTGTGTGTGTGAATTTGAGTGTAATAGACTGTAGTAGACGTGGTTAGAATGAATTTTTAAAATTTTTGTTGTTGGTCCCAAATGTGGTGCGTGTGTGTGTGTGTGTGTGTGTGTGTGTGTGTGTGTGTGTGTATTATTGTATTATTCATCTAAGTCTAAGAGCATAAAAGTTTTTTAGAGTAATATTTTAATATTTTTATTAATATTTTTAAAATTCAAATACGTTTCGATTAAATTATTATAAGTGTGTATGTTTGTGTGTGAGTGTGTTTGTAAGTGCGTGTATGTGTGTGTGTTTGTTTGTGTGTGTGTCACAGTTATTGCAATTATATCCCATTAACTCTCCGTAACTACACTCCTTTGAAAATACACAACCACTATAAATTGTTATATTATAATTTGGATGGTGATGACGAAGATGATGATGAGAATGATGATGACGACGACGATGATGATGACTTTTTGGATATAGGTACGTTTGAATCAACTGTGTTAAATTATCAAATGTATGAACTGTTTTCGAGGGGTTCGATTTTACCATTTCAAAATTTTGAAACCGATTTTGATACAAGAGGTTTTTTTTTGGGGGAGAAACCGGAAAATGAAGGTTCTGATTCTACTTCAATGTTAGTAAAGCAGTTTGTTTGGTTGTAGTTAAATTTTATTTTAGTTTATTTTATATATTTCTGCATTTTTTAATTTTATAATTCTCATTTTTTTATCAATTTAATACGATTTCATAAATCCACAATCGGCTAACTTATTTCCAATCTCTCCGTCGAACAATTACAAATTTGATTATTACAATAATTGAATAAACCGACAACAAAACGAAACACCGAAAAATTGAACACATTTCCCACCAGCAGTAACCCTTCTTGCCACTGCGACCAGCAGTGAGTACCGCGAGAAGTTCATCCCTTCTCTGAACGCCATTCTGTACGGACCTGGTCGCAAGGGCCTCGCCAGCACTTACGATGAAGCTCGTGCCTACTGCAACAGAACTGGCGGTAGGATGTTGAAGATCATGGACAAGCGTCAAGAGAATGATAGTATTGAATTTATGGCAAGTGAATTCCAGTCAGTGCTGAACGTCACCGATTATGTTGTCCTCGGTTTAAAGTGGAGACCGTCCATCTATGAAACTGATGAAAGAAATGCGAAACTTGAGTTTTTTTGGTGAATTTTTGGCAATCACCCGATGAATTCTTGCTGATTCTTTGTGAATTATTGATGCATTTTTTGTAACTTTCTGTTATGGAGTTTTTAACGACTTTTTTTTCATAAATGAATTGTAAATAACTTTTCATGTTTTTTCCAGGTAATGAAATCATTAAATATCTTAAAATTAAAATGAATGCATTGGACAGGGATGAAAGAGTTATTCGGCAGCTTATTTAAGGAGGATTTCAATTACTTACAAATCAATAGGAGAGGACACGCCTTGTACGCGCCTGAGTTTTATTCGACATATGCCATTTGCAGAACGAATTGTAATAAATTTCAAATAATTATTGATTGAAACTTTCATATTTTTTTTCATAGAAATTATTATTAAATAACGGGCCGATTTATGAAAGGGCAGGCGGGGTGAGGTTTTTGCAAGAAAGGGGGACTACCAAGAACAAAATAATATTACTTAACATATTTTTCCACTAAATATCTGTAAATATCCACTAAATATCTGTAAAAATTTACTGTTTTTAATGAAGAAGTTGTGAAAATAAATTTGAAATGAGCTGAAATTTTGCCGTTTCGAGTCCTCTCAATCCGGCCCGGAGTGAATGTATTGTACTAAATTAACAATGAAATTTTATATTTTTTTTTTCAAAAAAAAAATGTTTAAAAAATACCCAACCGCACATAGCGACAATACAGAATTGTACGATGGAAAATTCTTGTTACCAAATAACGGAATCCCGAAAAACGTGGCACGAGTCGAGACTGGAATGCTTAAAACTTGGCGGGGACTTGTACACCGATATGGCACTCAACCTGATTATAAGCAGTAGATTAAGCCAGACAGAGTACTACTGGACTGAAATCACAAAAAACATCTGGAGCTGGGAGGATCAACCAGGTTTGTCAGGGATAGAATTAAGTGTAACGGTTAAAAGCGCTTGATTCTGTGTTACAGTAACCGGTTTTGACTGCAAAACCTTCTCTCCTTATCATATGCATCTCTGTGTGTGTGATGTGTTAAATCTTAAACCAAGCCTGCTTGTTGCCTGTTGTTAATAACTCTGAACTATTGAAAATAATTGGCATAACTTTTATACTCAAACTTGAATATAAGTGTCGTGTCTCTGCTGACTGCATACTATTGCATTAAAATACTCATTGTTAACTTGGCAATTCGAGTTTCAATTGCTTTACATTCCCTTTAAAATGATAACTCTGCAAAGTTTTTAATCACTAAATTTAATCATTTTCAATTAATCACTAACAGAACCCCTATTCTAATTCTACAGATATATTTGCACAATATAAAGTCATTATTATTATTTTTATTATTTTTGTTATTATTTTTATTTGATACCGATGTTTTGACTGTGCATAAATGAATAAATTATTAAAATTAATAAATATATTAAAAATAGCAAGCCATTCAACTACACCACTTTTATTGCTTTTATTACTACCACAGCTATTACTGCTATTACTACTGCTTCTACTGCTACTATTGTAATTAACATAACGGGATAATGAACGCCTCAAACACATTGCATGTGATAAACTGGAATCACTTTAACTCTTTCAGGCGGGCAAACTTTCTGCTGAAAGGGCCGCATTGAAACTATTTGCCTTTTGAGGGCCGCATATCAGAATTTTTCGACCGTTGACCGGTTGGAAGGAATTCGTTAAGATGTTCATTTGGGGCTGACGATTTTTTTATTTGGTCGTTTCATTTTTTTTCTTTTCAAAATGCATACCGGATTCGCGGGCCGCATAAAATGGCTTGGCGGCCCGCGGGAGGTAGTTTGCCCATCCCTGTTATGGAATATATCAACATTTTATTTTGAATTTTATTTTTAGGAGAGGAACAGAATGATTGGAGATTACATGATTATTTGAAGGTGATGACAGGAATCTTTCCTATGTTGAGTTTTTCTGTTGGGTAAATGACTGTGAAAAGTGCTGACAAAATTGTTATAAACGCCTAAAATATGGATTTGAATGGTGATTTGATTGGTGATAAACGAAGTGAACATTTGATTTTGGTACGAGTGCATATACGAATGTTATGTGGAATGTCTAGCTGTGGATGTAGTGGAGAGTTTTGCAGCCAAAACTGAAATGTTAAGCCAGTTGAATGCAGAGTTTTTGGTAAATGGTCTTTAGTGTTGTCAGTATAAAATTAAAATCGAGAATTCGTTTTAAGTAAATGTTTTTTTTTTAAATTGACGTTATAGTTGTGATTTGCAAAAATTGCTTTGAGTGTGTTTTATTGGTTGCGTTGTCTTATTTAGTGTTATATTGTTATAACTGAAAGTTGAAAATTTGAGCTATTAACATTAAAGACATATGGTTTATTTGGTGTTGTTGGCGTTTCATTTAATACTATAATAATGTATCGTCTTTTTCTGTTCAGTTTCCATAATAAAGAAGGTTTTGAAATCAGCCAGTTCTGTTGATTTTTATGTGTGATTTAAAAAAAAAACGACAGTGCCTACTAGATGAATGATTGAAAAATATCAGATCGCCAAATCTTGATCGAAAAGTATGAATATTTTTATAAAAATATAACAATTTTCGTTATAATAAATATTAAATTAATTACATTCTAAAGTAAATTGCGTTGATTAAATAACATGCAGTTATAAATTACATTGATAAAAACAAATTTTTAATTGAATTATGAAATTTGAGATGGGTCAAATAGACATGCTCCAATATTTGGGATTGCACTTATCATTTTGCTTGTAATTTCGTTCAAAATTGAAATTCATTCAATCACATTTAACGTCGTTTTATTGAAATCAAACTTATCAAAACTAAAAGCAGCAATTAATACAAAAAATTATAAATTTTAATAAAAGATCTTATACTAAAACGCAGAGAAAAACTATGTTCTAGTTTTGAAGTAACAGAAATTGTTTAAATATATCATTAGGCTGGAGAAAGATTTTAAAAACTGATCAGATAAAAAGATTGTGCGAATTAAAACCTCAGTTGAACTCAAAAACTAGCTCTAACTGAGCAATGTCGAAAGAATTTGAACAAATTGATGTCATTGTCTGTCTTCATCATCCGAATTTGATAACAAAAATTGGATTTGATTATGTAAATTCATATTTTTGAGAGACGAGTTGTAATGAAGATTGAGCCGAACATAAGAACCAACTGGAATGGATTGACTGGCGAAAAAAATCTCAAACTTAAAGAACAAACTTTTGGATCTTTAATTTTTTTATTTTTTATGATATACTTGCTCAAATACTAATAAAACACTGTTTAATAAAACAATAAATATAATAATTCATTTGAATAATCATTTAGGATTAAAATGTATAGTTCATTAATTGAAAATGAAAAAAATATTTTTAATAACCGAAAACGCTGCTAAGTTACACGTCGTACTAGCACTTATCCGTTAACTTAGCAACATTGTAATTGATTTTTTGTGTGCCTCGAAATATGATCAAATTCATCCTTCTGAAATCGTGTCACTCTCAAATAATCAAACAATTTTAATTACTAAATAACTGCAGGTATAATTTTGTCAATTTTATATAATTTTTCCTACTCTTATCTATATAAGTAGAAATTTCCGATTCTAAAAATAAACTTTGGTAAATTTACCGATACTGAAACTAACTAAAAATGGCTGATGCATAATTAGTAAAATGACGACTTTCGATGCCTGATTGCACGCCACACACACACACACACACACACACATATTCCCTTTTAAAGGCTTAAAAGGCTTTAACTTAAGCATAATAATGTCATTGTCCATCTGTCATGAAAATCCGGTAATTAAAAATGTATATATAGATTTCAGAAGCAAGTATGTAGTATGTACTGTGCTGTAATGTTTTTTTTTACATTTATTTACAGATAGATTACTTTGTGGATAATCATAATTTATACTTTTATACATAGAGCACATGTTTCGTTATTCTTATTACTGTTAAAGTTAAGTTAAAGATTGATCTACTATTGCTAATTATAGAGTAGTAGTATAATATTATCTTTTGTTAGTAAATGAATATGTAATTTATCTAACTTATATATATGTATATATTTATATTTAGTTATATATATATATATATAGATCGTTTTATAAATATTTGTTATTTCAAATTATTTCAATTTCCTTGCTTGCTCTTGCAGAAAAATATGAAACATGATATTATTGAAAAACATTTTGAATCTAAAGTTTGAAAGGCATCTAGCCACTCTACTTCTACTACAGATAGCATTTCTATAATTTGGTTAGAGAATTGCTTACAATAATTGATTAGTTAATTGATTAGTTAATTAATTGGTTAATTAATTGATTGATTAATTGATAATTATTCCTTAACCAGCTGACTATCTTACCGCACCTAAATTGATAGAAAAATTCCCTGTAAAACGACAAAGAATTTAAAAAGTTTGGTACTCATCTAAGTTTCTATTATTATATACAAATAATAAGAAATATTATATAAAATCCATTTATTTAAAACAAGATTAACAAAAAATAATTTGAATTTAATAAAAATTCAATCCAATTTAATAAAAATTCCATACAACTTTTACAATCACATCTTTTACAGACAGATGCATCTGCTATCGGTCTAAATGCCATAACAAATATCACGTAAAATATAATAAATATTTTCATAATATAATGTTACGAAATAATTAATTTATAATTTTTAGCTATAAGAATGAAAGAAGCATACCAAAAGATTTTAGACAAAGGAAGATCTGAGCTTGTAAAGCGTATTGATATTGACCATGGCTTGCTTAACCTATTAATTGAAAGGGAAACTATAACAGATTTTCACTTCCAATCAATAAACGTGTGTTTTTCATTCGTTTCTCACAGTTTTTTAAGCAATTATTAGGAAGTATCAATAACATACGATAACTTGATGTATCTTTACATACAGGTAAGTCGTTGCAGCTCATAGACTTTCGAATACAATCAATGCAACAGCAATGCCAGCTGCCTTAACCATTACACTACTTTATGATATCTGTTACATTAATGATTATGTATCTTTCTAAATAATTTATTTTAAAGGAAATAAATATTTTTAGTAACTTAAATTTTGAAAGTTTAAAAATCGTAAAATTGTTTGATGAAGTTCGCCATGAAATAAGTTTTATGCTAATTAATAAAGAATGCTTTTTCTAAATCCTTAATGAATTTAAAAATAATAATCTGTAACAATTTTTTTATTAAATATATTATAAAATTAAGTATAGATACTAAATCTGTTGAAATTATTTGAAACTTAGTCTAAGCCAACATCATATCAGAAGGTTGAGCAACTTTTGGACATAATGAAAAAGAGAGACGATCACCATTTTGAGTCTTTTCTGAAGGCAATAAAACGAGACAATCCCGATTTAGTAACATTCATTCTCAATCTTGAAAAAGGTTTAGGAAATTTTTGTCTACGAATTTTGGGCTTTTTCCAATTCAGTTTATGAATATTTTTCTATTTATCTAACTTAAAAATGTTGAATGTTTATTTCTTAACAACTATTCAAGTTATTTATTAGTTATTCAACAATTTGATATATTTCAATGTTTATTTTTCTACCCAAAAAATTTATATTTATTTCATTTAATTCACTTTCCCGTAACTAGAAATTCATCATGATTGCTTCGATGGCACTGGTAACCCAAATATTAATGATCTAATCCAATTTGATAAACGTTTAAAACCATTAGAAAGGGAAAAGTTTAAACTATTAGGTAGGAATGCAAACGAAGATGTTGTACTCTTAGAGAAGAAAGTTCTAGAATTAGAGAAAGAGATTTCTTGTTTAAAAATCGAAAACACCAAATATAGATCAGACCTCGAAAGTCAGGTGAAAGTGAATAACAATCTTACTGAAAAGCTAAAGCAACTTGAGGACAAAAACTCCGAATTAAGCGGAGTTAAAGAAGATCTTATGGTTTATAAAAGAGCCAATGCCAAATTGTCCGATGACCTCAAATCGAAATGCGATGAAGTCGCCACGTTAACTGAACGCTGCCGTCAGCTGGTTTTCGCGAATGAAGGACTGACAAAGCAAAAAAAAAGTTTTGAACTGGAGCTAGATGAGGTTCAAAATAAGCATCCTAGCTTTCCTGAAGGTCAGATATAACAATAAAAACTTCACTATTTTCACAACGGAAAATGTTTTCAATAGCAATTGTCGTTCTATACATATTACCTACAATTTGTAAATCCTCCTAGTCTTATTATTTTATCATCACTGTTGTGATTGTATACATCATCACCTTCTTTACCATACTTGCCTCTTTTTTCACTATCACCACCCTCTTCATCACATTCGTCGCGATTATCATCCACTCATATCGACAACATCTTCATCATTGCTGTCATCGCAGTTTTACGTCACCCAAATATTTTCTTAATCTTTTATGATTTAGAAATAAAGCAAACGGGCACCAACCTAAAAATTAGGGAGAGTAGCGCGGTCATGGGCATCGCCCTCCTCAACCAACGTATATACATCGTCTGTTTGAAGTCGCCAAAAATCTTTGTGTTTGAAGATAATCCACCCTATCTGCAGGTTTTCTGATTGTTTTGTTGTTGCTTATGCTTGAAAGGTTTCAGTTATGAAAATTTAAACGCAATTATAACTATCATTTGATCAGTATTCGTCATTCGAGTTTTAAATCGTTTTTAATAACTTCAAATAAATAGAATAGTTAGTTCATAATCTGGTTGCTAACAGCGGTCAATAAATTGATGAAATTTATTGTTTAAAGGTTTTAAATGGTTTTTATTTTATATATTATTATTTCCAAATATCCGATAAAGTCATCCAACCATTAGTCATTTTATTTTTCCTGGCCAGCTGACCCGCGAAGAATTCGAGATAACCTCCATGCAAGATCCTCGCGACCTTATCTCGAGCCCCCGAGACCGGTGTCTTTTTATCGCCGACGTCTCCAGCAGCAAAGAATTCAAAATCTGGCAACTCGAAACAATCACTGGAAAGTTCATCACTATGATGTCCATGCCAGCGAATGCTTCTTCCGTCACGTTACCGATGACGTCACCATTAACTAACTCAGCTTTGTTGACCATGTCAAAAATGGGAAGTTTGGATTCTGGTGAAATACTCGAGTGTGATAGCGATGGCTTGGAAAATCGCGCAAAAGGTCCGACTTTCAAAATAACCAACTGGGTGGTTAACAAAAAGCCGAAAAAATTGAGCGTATCTGATAACAAGGCGCTACGCTGCAACAGATACAACGTGGACAGTACTGCCAGGAACGTTAGCAGTAACCTAAGCAGCAGCCCGAACTTCATAGTCGTACTCACGTGTGAGTGCAACGGAGATGAAGAAAACTTCTCAGTCATCATCTACAGGATCTCAGATAAGAAAATGTTGAGGAACTTCACGCTGACGCCCGACATCGGCGAAGTGCAGCACGTCGTTGTCCACACGCCACAAGACGTGCAGTGGCAGTGTCGCAGTTTTGACGCCGGCAGCTCTTTCGATAGTGATATTTCATTTTCATTGCCTATTTTGGACGGCAACCATATGACGACCCGCAGCCATAACAGCAACGACAGCTTCTTCAACGACATCCTAGACAAGTCTACCCTAATTGTCACACGCAGAGATGTCAGAAGACTTCAGGATTGCGATGAATCACTCTGGTTGGTCAGCAGGTTGAGGATTGATGGATCGAAGATCAGCTGTTTCATTCCAGCCATTGTGGATGGGATTGAACTGAACAAGCCGGAATATATTGCGCTGGTTGAAAATGGTTAGCCGGTTGTCGGTTACTATCTGTTGTTCGTTTGTTGGATGGGTGAATGTTTAATCATGTGTTTGCTGGAGTGGTTGGTTGGGATCGGTGGATTCTTAATAAAAGTTAGCGTCGGATGCTAAATTTAGTTTGTTAATTGAATGTGTTAATAAATTAATGAAAAATATAGTTGCATGGCTGAAAGTAACCTGTTGAATACAATTTTTTATTGTAGTTTCCACAAGTTAAGGATTCAAAAAAACTAATGGATGAACGAATTAATGATAAAATGAATGAATGATTGATTGAATGACTAAATAAATGGATAAATAATTAAATAAATAAATGAACGAACGAACGAACGAATGAACGAATGAATGAATGAATGTGGTTTCCCAAAAACTAAAAACACTGAACAGGCAGAATTATCGTAGCTGACTGCGAAAACAATCGCCTGGTCATTCTCGGCGCTAAACTAACCGGGGGCGAGACGTTGGTGAAGACGGATGCCAAACACAAACTCAACAAACCGTCCAGAGTTGTGTACAGCAGAGATAAGAGGATGTTGGTCGTAAGTGAATGGGGCAAGATAGGGGTTTTCGACGTTTTTGTATTTTGAAAGAAAGAGGTTTTTTGTATTTTGAGGAGAGGAAGTAGGCAGGTCTTTTGTATTTTGAGGAGAGGGAGTGGGATAGGTTTTAGCCAGCACGTATGTTTCAACTTTATGTTCGCTTCTATAGTGTTCGCTTTCAACGTATGTTCGCTTCTATAGTGCAAATCTTGTCATTGATTTCTCGATAGCTGCCGATTGAGCTGAGATTTTGCAGATTTTAGTAAATTAATTAATTAAATAATTAGTTAGATTATTAATTTATTGAATTAATTTAATTATAACTAATTAATAAATCCTTTGGCAAATAAAATTTTTTTAATGTTAAAAAATATACAATTGCATTGTGAGCTTGTTTTAAAAAATTTTTTTACTCCGACTTGGTCCCATTTGATTCTATAGATTTGTTATTGGAATATAGGTGCTGGTTGGTTGGCTGTTTCATTGGTTATTTTGGTTGGTTGGTTTGTTTGTTTGGTTGGTTGGTTGGTTGGCTGACTGATTGATTGATTCATTCATTCATTCATTCATTCATTCATTATTTATTCGTATTTGTTTGAATAATCGATTATTTTTTTATTGTTTTAAAACTATATCACAAACATTCCACATGTATGTAACAATTCATTCGCACGCTCTCACGGGTCATTATTTTTAGCAGGTAATTTTTTAGAATTTTAAATAAAAATGATTTTATAAGATGTTTATTAATAAGTTAATTAATTAAATTGACGTAATACAAATTGATAAATGAATGAACTTTTGAACAATCTATTAATTTAAAAATTTATTTAATGTTTATCAATTATATTAATTTAAAATTTATTATTTAATCTAAAAATTAATTAATGTTTTTTTTCTCATAGAAAGGCTCTTCAATTAATTATTATTAATTTTGTCAAAATAAGATGAATGAATAAAAAATCAATGAATTGATTACTTAATTAATTAGTCAATTAATTAGTTTTACATAAAGTTAGTTCAAGGATTTCAGCAGCATTTTAATAAATATTTTTAGCGATATTATATTGATTTTTTTTATTTTTTGCTATACTTGTTTTTGTGTGATTTAAAAGCGTTATTAATTTTACAATTTTAAAAATTAAATATATATATATTAATGATATTATCATGAATAAATATTATAGTAATGATATAATTATGATATAATATATTAATTATAATATGTTTTGTATTTGTTCCCTTTTCGTTGTATGATGGATATCTGTGTGTGTGTGTGTGTGTGTGTGTGTGTGTGTGTGTGTGTGTGTGTGTGTGTGTGTGTTTGTGTACGTGTGTTTGTGTCAGTTTAGTTTAACCTTTAATGGTTATTAATTAATTTATTTGTTTTATTTAGTATAATTTAACATTGTTTCAATTTTTTTTTCAACGTATTTTTCAGCATTAGTTGTTATCGTAATGCCATTTGTATTACTGTTGATTTCATTTACTATATATATATATATATATATATATATATATATATATATATATATATATATATATAAATTTGTGTGTGTGTATGTGCGTGTGTGTGTGAACGTGTGTGTGTTTTATTGTTTCCTATGTGATTTGTGATACTATACGCAATGCATTACAAAAAGATATTTAACTGCTTTTACTTTTTTATACGTTATTTACATTTTGTTTTGAGTAAAAAAAAACATACATACATTCCTACTGGGAAGACGTTTTGAATTGAAGTTATTTATTATTAATAATATAATATTAATATTATTATTATTGTTACTATTATTATTAAATTATGGTTTAAATGGTTTTACTGGTTAAGGTGTAAAAGCAGGTGAGGCCTTGTTTAGACGTTTATTTACATACACTGTGAGTTTGTTTGTTTGTTTGTTTGTCTGTCTGTCTGTCTGTCTGTCTGTCTGTTTGTTTGTTTGTTTGTCTGTTTGTTTGTTTGTTTGTTTGTTTGTTTGTTTGTTTGTTTGTTTGTTCACTACCAGTAGTAGTAGTAGTAGTAACAGTAGTAGTAGTAGCAGTAGTCTTTATGTATACTTGCATTAATACGTACAATAAAAATATATATACAAAATTATTCGGAAATAATGGCATAGCATCATAAACACACACACGCACGCCAACACACACACGCACACACACGCACAAAAGTCAGTCTTATTAAATTAAGGCATCATCACAAACTTTAAATAAATTCACTCATGTCACTTTTTGCGTCCACTAATAGTCAATATAAAATTAAATTACTTAGTGTAAGGTTGCATTATCAAGAAGCATTAAGTTACACACGATTACATTAGCTAACACAATGTTGTACTAAGTAACGACAAGTAGAAGTTAACCAAAATTTACTAACATAAAGTTATTATTTTCACAAAGCTATAAATCTCCTTTTAAGTGGTATGTACTAATTTGGCTAATGAATAACAAAATTTATCAATTTAAATATTGATACTCCTGCTACAAGTTCTTTGGTTGTCACCGGTTCATCAATTCTTGGTTCCATTGTCATTTCGGTAAAGTTTTCTAGAGTTATTGTTAAATTTTCAACTAGATTGTAAACAAAATTTCCAATGAAAAATTTCTTTAAATTAAATATATTTTATTTTCTCATTTGAAGATGATGTTGAAGTTCGGTTTTTTATTTGTTTATAGCTATTATGCAATGTACGTTTAACATACACAACTGTATATATGTACAAGTACAATCAGCACATTATCCTTACAGAACCTTGTGGCTACGTGTTTTGGTTTATGCCTAAAAATGATATGTCTTCCCCACTATTTAAGCTAACTCGCCATATAGGCAAATGTATTCTTTCGTTATTTATATTTTTTACCTTTGTTGGTTTCGCATGTTTGTTCAATTCATTTATTAATTCCATGACTTACTTTTTGAACATACAACATAGTGCTCATTGTGGCATACAGTTGGTGCCCATGTCGCAACTTTAACATTCATTTCTGTACATTTAGAGTTGTCGTTAATTTTTGTTGATTCAATATTGCTGGCCCAGTTTGTATATTTAGCAAACGCGCCTTCAATGTTAATCGGATGTTAATTTATATTTAATTGAGGCAAAAATTAATCAATTATATTTTAATACTGCTGAGAATAATAATTTTCCAATAATTTCCAATAGCGGCTGAGAATAATTTAATTTTAAATTCCTAAACAAATGAAACTGGAATAGTTTAAACCTTTTTCGTCCTTCTAATACCACCTGACGTTTGAATATCCCAGCCAATATCTTTCATTTTCTTCCAAAAAAGTTGCCAGTTCTGTGGCGCCAAACTTATCATGAAAATTGAACAAGTCTTCGCCCTTCCGAGCACAAAAGCTCCTGGCTTCGTACCACATCATATCAATTTTGATTATATCAAAACAGTCTTTTTCAGTTGAACAGTCTCCTACAACAATGAAACTTGGTCAAACTAATGTTCAATGTTTCACAAATATAGTTTCAAGGAAGCATTAGTTATTAAAACACGATATGATCTAAAATAAGCTTCTACTTGATTTGGAACATATGAAATGTTGTCGCATATAATTGAGGGGTAACTCAAACTTAGCATCCTTTCTGATCGATAAAAATTTGCCGTCATCATCGTATTCAATGTCGACTCTTAAAAAATCTGAAAAAATTATTTTTTCAATTATCTTTACTTCAAATCCAATTTATTGTAACTATTTCAAAGAATAGGATATAGATTTTTTGCTGTTCCATCCATACAAATCAACGAACGCATTACACAGCGCTTGTGATAGGCTGGGATCTTTTGCTTTTGTTAAACCGAACCAAGCAAAGTCTGATCCTGACCAAATATTACGCAACAGTAGATTTATAAATTTAATTTTGGACTCAAGAGCTGCAGTCTTTCAAAAAGGTTTTTATAGCTATTATAAACATTTCGTTTTGTTAAAAGTTGCATTAATTAGCTTTTTTGAGTTAAAAATAAGCTCAAAATGTGGAAAGAGCAAAAACTGAAGTCAACATTTTCAAAACCTCTAAGCCAACGCACGGTAAATTTTCATAATAATAATTGATCGGTAAATTTTAAATTGGAACTATTAAATAATAATTATTTACCTTTTGGTTTGGAAACTGAGAAAAATTTATTTATTAGAAAATCTTCTCTCTTCAAACCCAGCAAAACTCGATGTTTACTTTCAAAATTTGATGATTTCAAAAACGTTGCAACATCGTTTTGTTGTTTCTCATTGAAGATCTGAAGAATCTCTCCTCCAGTTTCTCTACAATACTCTATCGCATCAGAGTAACTGTGAACTTTAACATCCGAACCATTGGTGTACAACGTAGCACCAAACGATTCAAAATACTGCTCATTTTATGTGGAACTAACCAGACTCAAGTAGGAAATAACTGTTTAGAATGAAATAACACTTATGTAAGAATTTTTGCATTAAAAAACCAATAGTTAAACATCATTAATGAAGTGTGAAATTAGAAAAATGGAAATATTTTTTGCTAAAAATGTATTTTCATTTATTTCTTGGATACATAGGACGCGGCAACCTCGATTGTTTTCTATTCCTGCTTTGTATCTTCCGAGCTCCAGCTGTCTGCTTCAGCGAACGAGGGCCTGGGCCGAAAGAGGTAAAATGAAATGTAAATAACACCGAGGCAGCCATTCCTTTCTTGCTTGGAGGGGTGAGACATTTAGGCTGCTTCTTTTTTCTCGTGCCTTATCCTTTTAGGGCATTGGCGACCATCGACCTTCACAAAACCCGATCTTTAAGACTTTGTAGTAGCTGAAATATGGTGATATTCAACAAGTGACACAAGGACTTCACGAATGTTATTTGTTGTTGATCGCGATCTCTTCTCCCTCCAATCTTTTCAGTAGTTTTTAGATTTCCAATTCCTTCCTTCCGCATGATGTGACCAAAAACTTAGGCTGCCCCCGTCGGATTATCTGTAGTAATTTCCTCTTTTCATAACCGAACTGTTTTAATACATCCTCATTGGAGGTCTAACTAATTTTCATAATTCTTCTCAAAAGAATTTTTCCCAATTTGGTTCATATATTTTTAAAAATTCTCAAAAGATATGTTTAAACAATAATTACAACCAATTTTCAACTAGTTTAAGGTCTCAGTCTGAAATTTCATAAAGATTTGCAATGAAAAAAAAACTTGAAAAATAAAAAGAAAACTGCTAAAATACAATACTAACTCATAAAAAAGTAGCAAAACTCCATTTTGAAGAAAATTTTATTGAAACTTTAAAAACTAAATTCAGACAAAATCAAAATCAGCTGACACAATGAGGCTATCAATAGTTTTAAAGCAAATATTATACTCTGTCGTAAAATGATGTTTCATTAAAGTATATATATATATTGGTGTGTGTGTGTGTATATATATATATATATATATTAATTTATTATTAATGTTATTATTATTATATTATCTCGATAATTAATTAATTGTTATTTAGGATATGGTCTGTTCAAGTCATATTACCGTAATTAAGATATTTTGGGTGTTATTAACGAGGTGATTTCATTTTTCAACTAACTTGAACAAATTACTTAGTTTTTTATTGAAATAATGTTTTTTGTTGGCAAAAGATTTTGGAAAGGCTTGACGGAATGAGTCCTTTTTATTCTTTTGCAGGCCTCTCCTTTGTTTCCTCAAGGCCACTGACCATCAAATCCATACATGATACCTTCACTGAAGAAATTTCAAAATAACGGCCATATAGAAAATGATAACGAGTAGGGCCCAAAGTAGTTTAAAATAGAGTATAAGGCTATCATACAAGGGGTGTAAAGTTGGTACCATTTCACATGCTTGCCATTAGTTTTCCGTTTCATAAATTTCATTCAAATCACACACACACACACACGCACACACACACACACACACACACACACGCGCGCGCGCGTGTAAATATAACGATATGGACATACATACTATAATTAAAATAATATGTAAATTCGTAATACACCTTCGAATCATATCAACCAAGAAGTAGTTAATTGTGTGGTGAAAATTAAGTAATTAATTAAGTAACCTAATTAAGTATAAATAATTACGATGACTAAAGGAGGGAACATATAGGTAAGTCAAATTATAAGGCTATCATCAGGCAGAAGATTTTGGCATAGTAATGCTAATGATAACAATAGGTAATAACAATAATCATTAATATTATTATTATTTTATAATAGTAATAATAATTATAACAAAAAATAAATATGGTTAGGTAGTGTTTGTAGTTTTAAATCCCACAAGTAAACACGAAATAAAAATTTAAAAAAAATTGTATTCAACAATTCTAACTTTATGAAAAATATTCAAACAATTAGAAATTTAGGTAACTCAACTCGTTTTTAATAAGTTGACAAAGATAAATCAAAAATCTCATAAATGACTATCACCATCATGTGAACTTTTTTGCAGTCCAGGTAGAAGTTGATAGAGAATATTCGAGATTATTTAGCAATCTTTAGTGACGGTAAACTGATTTCAAAAGATACAGAGGCAAAATTATATTATTTTACCTCTGATTTCACTGATTTCAAAACATACAGAGGCAAAATTATATTATTTTGGCCCGGATTCAGGCTAGAAATTCCTCGGATTATAACAAATTCTTAAAATAATTTTTTGTTTGCAATTTATTTGCTTGAAATTGATTTATAACGTTCAGAATGAGGTTATCAAAGCTCATTTCATTGTTTCAAAAATTTTCAATTTTACAGTTAACTCCACCAGTAAAAGTAAATGCTACAAAAAATGTTGACAACGAAGGTCAAGAAACAATCTGAAACAAAGCAGGAAATCGTTGTCTTAATGAAAGAAAAGACTTGTTCGCTTTTGATTGTGATTTTGATGTCGGTTAGTTTGGACCTGACTTGGAGGTCAATGAAGGATATTGGCTGGGATATTCTAGAATAAGATGGTATTGGGAAAATTATCCAAGTTGATATATTTTCTTCATTATTCAACTTTTTTTGAATATTTGATAAATATTTGAGAAATTATAAACAATTAACAGTTTAATTTTACCTTTATAATGATCGTTTGGCTAATGTTATTTGATGTTGATCTAATATTTTTCTCATATGAGCATTGATGGAATCAAATGCCAATCAACTGGACAGAATATTTTGTTTTAACTACCCAGAATAAAAGCTTTCGTCTACAATAGGATTGACTTCTGTAATGTGACTCGCTCGTGTTTCATTCAACAAGACTGGTGTTAACTGTCAAATAAACCACAATAATATATATATATATATATATATACTTATAGTATATATATATATGTATATATATATATATATACTTATAGTATATGTATATATGTATATATATATATATATATATATATATACTTATAGTATATGTATAATAGCAAGTATATATGGATAAATACACAAATGTATTTATGCATGTATTAAAAATTATAATTCAATTAACTGCATGCTTTAATTGAATTATAATTTTTGTAAAACGAGTTTAAAAATGAATTAATTCATGAAAATTTGTTCTTGTATTTATGGTTTATTGTTTTTATGTTTACGCTCGTTCGTTCGTTCGTTCGTTTGCTCGTATCTTCCGGTGTTCATTCATTTATTTCTCCATTAACGTTTGATAGTTAGTAAAGTTGAGAGTATGAATTAAATGAATTAAACGTTTTTAGTATCATCACTAGAGAAAGAGATAGAAAGAGAGAGAAAGAGAGAGAGAGAGAGAGAGAATATATCTATACACATACAAATACTGTGATAAAGAGAAAGAAAAGGCAATGAAGACATAGGATTTGAGAGAATATATTAAATTTTAAAAAAATAGAGTGAGATAGAGAGAGATAGAAGGAAAAAGAGAGAAAGAGAAAAAAAATGAAAAAGAGAAGTGAGAGAGAGAAAGAAAAAGAGAAAGAGAGAAGAGAAATTATTATCTAATGTTTCATTCAATAAGAGGTCCGTTGGTTGGCTTAATTTTCCAATCTTCCCATTCCTAATTAGTTCTGGATTCTTCTTCCTGGTTCGTACCAAATGTCATCCTGGTAATGATGATGATGATGGTCGTGGTGGTGATGATGATAATGATGATGATGTTGGTGGGGGTGGTGGGGTGATAATGATGATGATGTTGGTGGGGGTGGTGGGGTGATAATGATGATGATGGAAATGATGATGATGAGGAGATGAGTATTATAAATATTATCATATTAAAATTCGAAATAATATTAAAATGACGATACGCTTTACATAAGATGTATAAATTTTATTCGGGCATGAAATAATTAGACCAATATCAAGAATATAAACTAAAAGTGAACTGCGATCTTGAAAAACTTACATCTCTCAAGGCAAACAGATCTTCCAAATTAAAAACGCAGCATCGGACAGTGACGTCATTTTTGCCTTGTTTGTTGTTGTTGTTGTTGTTGTTGTTGTGGTTGTTTGTCGTCAAGTTAATACTTTTCATGTAATAAAAGTTATTTGCTAAGATGTCAATTATATCTATCAGGCTGTTGTTGTCATTATTATTGTTGTTGTCGTTGTTGCTGGTGTAGTAGTAGTTTGGCAACCAGGGATGTGCCGGTATTTCGCTATTCGATGTGTCGGTTCTCATATTTGATGAGTCGTTAACCGATATCTGATCTTTTGACGACTTAGTCGAGTAGCCGGTCGATTGATTTGCCGGCTGGTCTACTAACTGAGCGTTTGGTTGGTAGGTTGGTTGAGTTGTTGGTTGGTAGGTTGGTTGAGTTGTTGGTTGGTTAGTTGGTTGAGTTGCTGGTTGGTTAGTTGGTTGAGTTGCTGGTTGGTTAGTTTGAGGGTTTGTTGATTGGTTGATTGCTAGAGCGGGCATTTTTTAAATTTAAAAGTTGATGACGTCAATGCTTTACTTTCTTTGGTGATGTTTCTGCTGCTGATATTGTTTGTTACTGTTTATTCTTTGTTTTATTTAAAATTTCTACGTTAAATAAATGAAAATGATAAATTTATATTACTTTTTAATATTATTAAATATTTTTATTAATCGTAAGACTAAAGATGTCGTTAAGAAAGTTTCAGTAACGTCTGTGACCTCTTATTTATAAAGTCGAAAAAATTTCTTGAATTTCGAGGAGAGAGAGAAAGTGATGGAATTTAGTGAGAGTTTGATTAGGCAGAGCGAGAGAGAGATAGAGAGAGAGAGAGAGAAAGAGAGAGAAAGAGAGAGAGAGAGAAATAGAAATTTTAAGAATGATGATGATAATGATGATGATGGGAATGACGATGATGAAGAAGAAAAAGTCGAAGATGACTTTGATGGTGATGAAGAAGATGATGATGATAGTTGGGGTAATCATCTAGAGATAGTGCTGCCTTTCAGTGAGGGGGTAATAATTCAGAGAGATAGTGAGAGATTTTAGTGAGAGTGATAGATTTCAGTGAGTGAGTGTAATAAAAGTGAAGGATGGCTAAAGTCAAAATGTAGAGGTATTGATGGATTTTGACAAGAGTAAAGAAGATAGTGATGGAATTCAGTGAGAGTTATAACTTTATGTACTTGAAATTTAACCCGTGTTGATTGTTACGTTATAATATGTTTATGTTTCTGGTTACGTTTATGATTATGTTTGTGGTTATATCTATGTCTATGTCTATGTCTATGTATATGTTTATGTTTATGTTTAAGTCTAGGTCTATGTTTATATTTATGTCTTTGTCATAGTCTTTGTTTATGTTTATGTCTATGTTTATAACTTTGTCTATGGTTATGTTTGTGGTTATATCTATATCTGTGTCTAATTTTGAGAAGCAAATAAAATTTCGTTTCGTTTCGTTTATGTCTAATGTACGTCTGTGTTTATGTTTATATTTATGTCTTTGTTATAGTCTTTGTTTATGTTTATGTCTATGTTTATGTCTATGTTTATAATTTTGTTTACGTTACGACGGCAGTGATGTCATTCTGGTCTGGCATACACGCTGTCAAATGGATAACTTGAAGAAATTTCAAGAAGATGATGGTGGTGATGAAAGGTTGAAAAAATATTATTAAGTAGAGATAGAGAGACAGACAGACAGACATACATACATACATACCGACAGACA